CCTTACTTTAGTAGTGGCTGTTGGCCAGGTGCCCAGCTCCGAGGGCAGCACTGCCACCAGCTGCAGTGCAGGAGGGAGGGTGGCGGGACCACAGCCCCCATTCCAAGAACCATGCGATCCGCCCCACAACTCCCTTTGAATCAGGACCCCTACAATTACAACTCTGCGCCCTTTCCCATTGAACAGTGGAAATCGTGACATAGACGTTTTAAAATCCCACGATTGTGAAATTGGCCAACGTGGACCTTGAATTTGGTGGGGCCCTACTCAGTGACACCAGGATCCGGTCCCTGGATGGTGGAGTAGGAGCTAGAAAATACCCTTTGTCCCCCGAGACCTTCCTCAGATTTCACTGGCTGTGATGGGAAAAGCCTGTAAGTGCCCCCCCCCCATTCCCGTTCCCCTTATTGCTCCTGACCCCAAACCGTGTGACAGGAGCCGTTCCCTGCCAGGCACAAGAGGGAGGGCCACATCCAGTCCCACTAGCCTAGCCAATGCGGCCCCTGTGTGGTTTGGGCTGATGAGAGCGATCCCCTGGCTGGACAGTGTCGGTCGCCGACAGCACCCGAACGCGCCGCCCAGCCGGTGACTTGGGCCTGTCTGCCTGCGGCCGCAGCTCCAGCTTGCTGCACGATGGCAGGAGGGGAGGGCAGGATGCCGGGCAAACCTGAGGAGAGCGAGGGAGGCTCCTTAGTGCCGGTGGCCAGCAGAGAGGAGGCCCGTTCTGAGGCGCTCCTGTCCGAAGGGGCCATGCACAGGAAAGTCTCTGCCGGTTCTCGGGCCTGGCTCTGCTGGAACGTCGCTGGCCCAGGCAGGCCCAAGGAACCTGCAGCCTGTGAGGAGGGGGAAGGGCTCATGAGACTTTGCCAAGTTGGAAACTGCGCAGCCAGATCCTCAGGGGTTCTCAGCTGGCGGGGCTGATGCCGGTGTTGTTCTGCGGCCAGGCACCCTCCCTAACTGGCCCACCAGGCAGCCCCCCCAAAAGACGTGGAGTGAGCTAAGTGTCTCGGCTTGACCAAGCCCTGGCTGGGATGGTTGAGTTGGGTTGGTCCTGCCTTGGGCAGGGGGCGGGACTCAACTCCTGAGGGCTCTGCCCCCCTGGGGTTCTAGGATTCTAAGGAGCCGCTCTGCTTCTGGCTGGGCTTTGAGTCACACAGCCGATCCTAGGTCTGGGCGTGCTCTCGGTTCCGCCCGTGTACCTCCAGTGGCAGTGGAGTCAGGCTGGATTTCCAGGGGGGTAACCGGGAGCAGAATCGGGTCCCTAATGCTCTCCCTTCCCTGGAGCATCGATAAAGGCTGTGTCATCGCCCGGCCTCCCAGGATCTGATTGTGCAGTTATGCAAATCTTCCTGCCCCATCTGCTGCACTGAAGGTGCAGCGTGAGCAGAGCAAGAGAGCTGTCGGATCCCAGCCTCTCACGGCCCTTCCTCGCCTGACTCTGCGTCCCTCCCGCGGACGCGGAGGATGCACTTGAGATCGCACGTAGGGCAGTAGGATCAGGCATTTCCATTCCTCCCCCCGTCCTGCGCGTAGCGTTCGCAGTGGGGAGCGAGCAGCTGAACTAGAGCTGTTTACGCGGTGCCAAATTCATCCTCCGTCTGACTGCACGGAGCTGCAGCAGGGAGACGCCAGGCCTGGGGGCGCTTTGTGAGGAATCATTTGGATCTCACACATCGTGGCTGGATTAGAACACGTCTCCTCGGCACCCGCAGAGGTGGCACTTGCCGCCCTGCCTTTTAACTCTGGCCTGGTGGTAGCGAGAGCGTCCCCCAGCCTGGCAGGAGAGGGAGGATCAGCCGGCTTGTGCAGAGCCCGCACCTCCTGGCAGGCTGCTGCTTCATTCATGCTCACCCAGGACAGTTTAGTCCCAGGACGCGCAGATCGTGGCATCTTCCACCAGCTGCGTGCGGCTTCTCTAGCCCAGCGTCTGACAGCCCGGCCGAATGGTGAGCAGACTCGTTTCCCTGCCTGCCACTTCTGCTTCCTTCATCTCTCTCCAGCGTGACCACGTTATGTTTTCTAGCCTGGTGGTGGCTGCATCAGTCAGGTTTCCCCGTCCCATGACCGGTGCTTAGCTCAAGGGCCTCTCCGCGTTGCCTTCCTGCGGGCTGGAAAGTTGCCGTGCAAGGCTCCTCCTCCCCTCGTCCGGTTTGTGTTTACACGCGGAGCAGGGAGCCCAGCTCCTGCTCGGAGCCGAGGAGCAGCCAGGCAGTTTTCTGGGCCACGATTCACCCAGCAGACTAGATCCGCAGCGAGTGGCTTAGCATGTGCCCAGAGGAGCCGGCTTGGGTTCAGTGATGGAGGGGGTTAGGCGCGTCTTAGTGACCCGGGTCCCTTCGGAGCCCATGCGCTTTCATGGCCTCTGTTAGTTTTGGGAATCAAAGCAAACCGCCCTGTTCCTCGTGCTCGGTCACCCCCCAAATCCAGCTGTGGGTGAGAAAAGCGACAGCCATGAGAGCGGAGACGCTGTGTGGTGATAGGCCATCGCCCCGTCAGACCCGTGCGCCCGCTCACCTCGCGCTCAGCCTTCTCCCCCACGGCCCCGCCGAGCTCCTCTGCAAACCCAGGCGTGGGCCCGCTTCTGCCGCGCGGCCTTCAGGGGATGGAGCTGGTCCGGGCCCCGGCTTGCAGCAGTAATAGCCCCAAAGACGAGGGGGCTGCCCTTGCCTCCCCCCATAAAAACTGTTCCAGCACATGGCTGCAGTTCCCCGTCTCCGACTGTCCTGTGCCCGTCAGCCTGCTCAGAGCTGGGACCGTCCTCCCTGAGCGCGTGGGGTGGGGCTGGCGGCAGATAAAGAGCAGCCCAGTCGCCGTCTGGCATGGGAAAGGGACTCCTGGCATGTCCTCAGCACAGACTTTGGCCTGGCCAGCCCCTGAACAACCACACGCGCCTGGTCCAGCCTGCGATGCTGCTCTGTGTGGAGCAGCCAGTGACCCGCCGGCAGGACTGGAAGTGCAGTGGAACAGCGGGAGGAACGGTTCCCCCGGCAGGCTGTGCCCTGGCTCCCAGCTCTGTCTCTGGCTGGCCGGTGAGCTCGGGCCGCTCACAAGGCTGTACCGCGACTTACCGTGCTTCAGGGGTTGGCTGGCCGGTGAGCCCCTCAGACGTGATCTCAGGGGCACTGAGCACCCCAGCTCGGTGTGTGGCCAGCAGCAGCTCGGGGGCTGCAGAGCCTTTGGGATAGCGGCCCTGGGCGCGTGGCGCTGCAGGACTAAGGGGCACGCTTGGAACCAAGGGCCCTCGGCGCTCAGGCTTGAGCCTTTGCCCTCTGCCTCGGTTTCCCTTGGCGTGTGACTGGCTCCTACGCCGGCCACCTCCCGCACTCGTGGGGGAGTGAGGCCGAGTGTACCCCGCTGTAAGCACCAGGCTGCTCTGACTGGCTCGGGCCTAGAGGGTTCGGCAGCGGTGTGTCCCCTCCCCCCGTCCCGTGCCATGCCCCGTGCGTGCGCCTGCTGCCAGTTATCACAATGGGGACCTGGCTTTGGTGGGGGCTCTAGGCTCTGTGGTGATACACACGAGCAGTCGCACGCAAACAGGGCTGGAGTACTTCCTGTCACGGGGAGGCCTGGCGGGCGGCCCGCTGCTGCCCTGTCCCCTCCCCCCCCCCCAGCAGGGTGTGGGGCTGAGAGGAAAGAGAGCCCAGCAGGGAAGGGTATGGACTGAGCGCTCCTTTCTGGGAGCCAGAGCCCTCGGGGGGGAGGGGGAGAGGCAGGGAGCCTTGAGAGAGAACAAGATACTGGGTGTCTCTGTGGCAGGGGCCTGACTACCTAGGCCTGAGGCCAGCGAGAGGCCAGGTTTGCTTGGAGCTAAGGGGGGTGAGGAGGACTCGTCACAGACCCTAGGAATGGGCTGCAGACGCTCCCAGGGTGGAAGGAGCGTGGGGACCTGATACAGGGGAGAAGAAATGTTGACAGGCCTGCAGACACCGGTCCCCTGGAAGGGGTGGGGCTGAGGGTCAGTGGAAGGCAGTGGCAGCTGGAAGCAGTTGTGGGAGAGAACATGATAAGCACATGGGAACGGCCACACTGGGTCAGACCAAAGGTCCATCCTGCCCAGGGTCCTGTCTGCCCACAGCGGCCAGCGCCAGGTGCCCCAGAGGGAGGGAACCGAACAGGGAATCATCAGTCAGTCCCTCGCCTATCACCCGTTTCCAGCCTCCGACAAACAGAGGTGAGGGACAACCTCCCTGCCCATCCTGGCTAATAACCATTGACAGGGCTCAACAAATCAGTGAATCCACTCACCCGCGGCAAGTAGCTTTCAGCCAGTTGCCCTGTTCACCGATGGTGCGCGCATGCACAATGCGGGTCTTGTGCATGTCCAGTGTGGGGTTCACCACGGTTTGTCAAGCCCTGACCATTGATGGGTCTAACTTCCATGAATGTATCTAGCTCTTTTTTTAACCCTGTTCAAGTCCTGGTCTTCACCACATCCTCTGGCAAGGAGTTCCACAGGTTGACTGTGCACTGTGCGAAGAAAAACATCCTTTTGTTTGTTTTAAACCTGCTACCTAGTAATTTCATTTGGTGACCCCTAGTTCGTATATTATGGGAACAAATAAATAACTTTTCTTTAATCTCTTTTTCCACACCAGTCCTGATTTTATAGACCTCTATAATATCCCCCCTTAGTCTCCTCTTTTCTAAGCTGAAAAGTCCAAGTCTTTTTAATCTGTCTTCATCTCATCTCTTCTTATTATTAATCTCTCTTCAAGGGCCAGGGGAAACCGAGGTAAAGTTGAGGGGGTGCTCCCCTGGGCTCTGTGGGGTGTCTGCGACTGAGCTTTGTAGCACTGCTCTGCCTCGCAGGGATGTTGTGATCTAAAGTGCTGTGAGAGCCTTGGGTGGGTTCTTGAATGGAAAGGCCCATAAAGGGGAGTGAGGCTAGGGGAAGGGTTCTTGTAAAGTGCTGTTCCTTGTGCATGTGTCTGGCCCAGAGTGAAATATTTTCAGAGCGGAACAGATTCAGGTTCTGCCCGCTGTTTTCTGTCAGACAACAGATGAGGCATGTCAGCGAGGACAGCAAATGTGAGCAACACCAGTCCCATGACTATGCAGTGCTGGGATTTCTTTGTTGGTACCCGAGGTGATTTTAGGCATATTCCCTCTGGCTGAGAGCACTGAACCTTTCAAAGCCAGTCAGCTTTACCACCCTGCCGTCCCTTGCAGCCTGACCAATCCGGCCCTTCTGCTGCTGGCCAGGAGATAGCCGTCGGGTGCACTGAACAGTCTGTGTTTCCTTCCGGCGTGTGTGATACTTGCAGAAGAAATCTCTTCTGAGTGTCCCTGGATCCCGGAAATCGCTGGAAGCGATGTAGTGCAGTGGTGGTGAAAGCGGATTGTTTTCCCACACAGAGCCCTGGCCAGCCTTGATGCCACCAGACAAGTCTCTGATGGGAACAGTGCCACAGACGAGCTCCGCTCTGAAAGCTACAGCCCATGGGAAATCTCGGCGCACTGGCCCTGATTCCAGCCCCCGGCACTACCACCCCCCCGTGGCTAGACAAAGGCCCGACAGAGTGATGAGGGAGAACTCCCCATCGCACCTCCAGGAGCAGGGTTGAGGACCACTGGCTTGGGGCTGGGTGCGGGCAGGTCGTAGATCTGTTCTCCTGCCGTCCCTGGCCCAGGGAGCCCGTCTGTCCAGTACTCCAGGGCAATTCAGCAGCAACAGCAGCGCCAGTGTGGGCCGTGATGGAGAGAACATAACCTCCGGGTTAAGTGAATTAGTGGAAGCATGTGAAAGATTAAACAATAGCCAGACCCTCTGGTGAGCAAATGGAGCCGTGAACCCAGGAAAGGGCACGCAGCTCCTAAGCCACCGGGAGTTTTGTTGCTTTTGTATTTTTCCTTCCGAAATCAAAGCACCAGCGGGCTCCAGTGGAGACTAGATGAACAAGTCTTGCTGCTTTATGAACCGGTTGTGTCCCCTTTCTCCGTTGCAGGGCTCTGGCAGATATCCTCCGGCAGCAGGGGCCCATCCCAATAGCACACTGTGAAAGAGAGACTATCTCGGCCATCGATACCCCTCCCAAAGAAAACACGCCTGTCCGGACATCCTCCAAAAACCACTACACCCCCGTGCGCACCTCGAAAAGCAACCCAGGTAAGTGTCACTGTTCCGCGGGGGTCCTGCGCCACCGCCTTGGAAACGAGCAGCCGAGAAGAGACCCCGTGCGTTGCGCTGTTCCGCGGGCGGGCCACCGTGCTGGCGTGGTGGGGGCAGCGTCTCTGCGACGTGCCCTGCAGCACAAGAGGCAGTTGTGACGATGCTGGGGGCATCCAGCTGCGTTTGCTAGATGGGTTTGCTGTGCTGGGCAGCTCTTCTAGAAATGTCCCAATCAGCAGCAAGTTCAGGAGGGGTTTGCGGAGGATTTACCATAGTGTCCTGGGTCCCAGCCCAACGCACCCAGCGTGAAATGTTGCCCAGGCCCCACGGATGCTGCGTCTGGACAGGCAGGAATCCGCCCACCCCGTCCAGGCAGGGAAAGGCTGCACGTGGACTCTGAGCTTCATCTCAGGAGCATACGGGCCCACGAGCAAGGTCCCAGGAGAGGTGCTGTGGTCTGGGGTTCCACCCTGGCCCTGCTGTGGGCCGGCTGGGTGTGTTTGTGCAGGCGAGTGCTCGGGAGTGGCAGGATGCAGTGCGGGCTGGCGAGCGATTTCCTTGCCTGCAGAACGCTGCCATGGAGATAGCGTCACAGCCGCTGGGAGGCAGGTGTGGTGGATTCTCTGTCGCGTGAAGCCTTTCCCTTGCCTGCTGGCGCCTCCCCACGGCGAACTCGCACGCGCGCTCAGGGCGCGGGCGTTCCTGGGGCACGTTCTCTGGCCTGGTAGGCGATCGGAGGAGAGGATCGTGGTGTATCCGTCTGGGAACCTTCCCGTGGAGGCCAGTGGGAGCAGAGAGGGCCCGGAGATGTGCGAGGTGGGGCCGGTCCTGCTGCTGATTGTGTTCATGTTGGTTAGGACGCTGGGGAAGATGGATGGTGGGTTCATCAGTGTCTCCCACAAACCCCGCACTGTCGCGTTCACGGGCGGAACCGCCCGAACCCATTGAAATGGCTGCACGCAGTGTTGCCCCATGAGTAAAAATAGTGGAAAGGGCCTGCTGGGCCCCCTGGATTTGAATTCAGCCTGGGGTCAGCCAGAGCCAGAGTGTAACTCCATTGCAGCTGCCTGCCGTGTGAGAAGCCAGCCCCTTGGAGGGTAAATCTGCACTCCTGCCCCTGGGCCCCTTCTCCCAGAAACGGTTGCCAGAGGTTTGCTTGCATCCCCCGTCGCTGTGCCCGTTTGCTTGCCCCTTTCCCCTCAATTCGCTGGGGCCGTTCTGTGGTCCTTGCTGCTTATTTGGTCGGTGGGAAGAAGCGGGGGGGTAGTAGAGGGCTCTTTGAACTGGCAGGCAAAGCCAGAGCGGGATCCGGTGCCTGGCAGTGGAAACCTGATGGATTCAGACAAGGAGGAAGGTGCCAAAGGGAAGCAGTGCGGGTAGCCGACTGCTGGCACCATTTGTCAGGCATGGGGTGGGTTTGCTTCCATGTGCGCTCTGGAAATGAGGGGAGGGCCTCTCTAGTTCCACCCAATGGTGGGGGCTTTCTACAGGCTCCCTGGGGGAGCCCCTATGGCCTGTGTTACGCAGCAGGTGAGAGAGAGGGTCAGACATGGTCCCTTTGGGCAGTAGCATCTGTGAATCGTGCTGGGTTTCCTGGCTGTGTGGGGGGACATAACGCCGAGGAGACGGCTCAGCTGGCCAGGAGCTCTCGAGTTCCCACATAGTGCTACAAATAAAGGGCCTGAGAGGTCCAGGGGGAAGGGCTTTTTCTGTCTCCTGTTCTAGTGACCAGAGCCCCTGCCGATAGCCGGTGGCATCCTACCTGCAGAGGAAAGTGGGGACTCGTGCGCCGGGGGAAATGGGGCTGCCTGCGGGAGGCAGGTGCGCTTGCGTGGTTTTGCTGCGCCAATGGGATGATACAACCACAGGGACTGAGGCGGGCGTGGTGCTCGGCTCCCCTGGTGGCTTGAGCCGCGTTTGGGCTAGGCAGGGTGGTCTGGAGCCTTCCTCCCAGCAAGGGAACTAACCGGAGGTGCGTCCGAGTGACAAACGCCTCCCGGGCCAGCCTCTGCTCTAGGCCTGTTGGCCTCCGCGGAGCCGGTGAGCCGCCTGGCCATGGGCATCCATGGGTCACTGCCACGGGCAGCCCGGTACAGCTGGGAGAGGATTTTAATAAGGTCCCCAGTCGGGAGAGTCCAGAGACATGCTCATGTTCCAGGCGCTACTGTGATGTAGTGTGGGTACCTTGCTGATTGCTATGCTGGGCAGTGGGTTGAGTGACCTCCACTGGCTGCTGGCTGCAGCACGGCCCAGCAGGGCAGGGGATGAGTCATTATGCAAGGGGGCTTCTAACCTGTCTGACCAGTGATCTCCCAGGGAGAGGAACAATGGGAAGAAGGGGAGTGGAGCCCTGGCTGGGGGCAGGGCTGGAAGTGAGGGAGTTACTTTCTGTCTGGGAGCATGGAGGACACAGCCTAGGAAAAGGGGCTGGAATTTAGGGGCCCAGTCTCCCCCATCTCAAGGGGGGCTGAGGCATCTAGGCCTGCCCTGTGACCAGATGACATCTGTGCTGTGCTGTGTCCTGGAGAAGCAATAAACTCCCTCTGTTCTACTGGCTGGTGGAGTCTGTCCCTGCCACCATGGGGATGCAGGAGACGGGGAAACCCCAACGCGCCGTCACAGCTGCTTTCAGCGGTGCCTTCGCCCACAGGCCTTGCCCTCTGGGGGCAGTGCACAGAGACATTTGTCAGCTCTCTGGGGCTGGAGCGCCTTGTAATTCCTGCACAGGTTTGGCGACAAGGGCCGCTGGAGCCCAGGCGTGGGGCATGGCAGCTAGAGTGCCCACTGGCTGCATAGGAAGGGCAGATAATGGCTGAGTCTGAATGCTGCTTTGCAGGCCCTCTGAACTCGTCCCGACTGGCCATTGTCCTCTTCTGCATGCCCCTCGTCTCCCCCTGGCCCCTGCAGCTCCGGCTGCATCCCGCCCTCTGAGTTCCTCCCCCAGTCAGCTCTCTGGCTCCTCCCCACCCCACGACTTTGTTCTGGTCCAGCAACATGCGCTGGAGACGTGGGGCTGGTTCTCGGCTGCTCTGCAGCTTGTGGCGCCAGTCAGAGCAAGCCCAGCGTGGGTAGAACGCAACTCGCAGTCCGAGCGCTGGCTCTTCACAGCCACTTTGCCTCCGGAATCAGGTGATGGAGCCCCCCAGGGACTCTGGATACACCTCACTCCCAGTGTCTCCGGTTTCAGTCACTGAAATGAAAGGGACTTGCGAGCGGCCAGGCGGAGTCAGACCTAGGACCATCGCGCCCAGGTTCCTGTCTGCCGGCAGTGGCCAGGGCCGGGTGCCCCAGCGGGGTGAGCAGAGCAGAGAACCACTCAGTGATGAAGTGTCACAGAAATGACCCGGGCTGCCTTGCCAAGGCTGCTCCATGCTGATTTACTTCCCTCCAGCCACAGCTCCTCTGCTCCAAGCCCCGTGTGTGGCCTGTCGCCCATCCCCCTCTGCCGGTTCCCCAGCTTGGGCAGGCTCTGTGGGCCAGGAGCTGCTTTGCATTCCAGCCTTTGTATTTCTGGAGCAGCAGAGAGCAGAAAGCAGCCAGCTCTGCCCAGCTGAGAGTGGCCCAGGCGGGAATCGTTGGCCTATGGTGCTACGGTTCTCCTCCTCTCCTAAGTGCCCATCGCATGCCCTAGAGACTGGCACAGAGGAGCTAACGAGGCCATCTTCGTTTTCCATGCAGATTATGGCTGGGGAGACGTTAAGTACCTGCTGTGATGAGTTCTGTGCTGGGGGGACTGGAGCAGACCACAGACTTGCAGCACACAGACCGCCAAGCACTCAGATAGCTCCGCCGCCTCCTCCTCTGTCCCCAGCTTAACCCTGCCTGTGCTTTCATTGCCAGGGCTGGGGCACTGGTGGGAGTGTGCCATGCAAGGAGAAGATGCCCAGCGAGGGAGGGACCGGAAAGGAGCATGAATGTACAAGGAAGTTCTCGGGGGATTCCGGGATTTCAGCTGGAATTGTTTCAAAGATGTAACTGATTTCCTTTCTCTGTGCGTTCGCTGTTCCTAGCCTCGGGCTCCTGCTCTTGGGCCAGCCTGCTGTGCACTTAAAAGCTTTACAAGCCCACAGGACTGTGGAGATATCACACGCCCCTCAACCAGCACAGCTGTGCCTGCAAAAGTGGCAGTGGAGGTGCGGTTACGGGGGAGGGGCCTTTTCCTGGTCTAGGTTATTTCACCCGGAGAACTGGTACTCACTGTACCATTAAACATTCATGATTACACCATTGGCGTCCTTTGCAGCCTCCAGGTCTGCGGGCGTATGCTTTGCCCATCTAGCCCTGCCTGTTCCTATAAACCCTTTCTAGTGACGCAGGCCTCTGTCACCGAAACGGCAGAGCTTGGGGTGTTATCACAGTAGGGACGGAGGGCTGTGGATGAAAATGCCCTGGCTCTAGGTGCAGCCTTGACAAGAACATAGAAGTACAGCTGGTCCACAGTTTTCGTTCACAGCAATGGACTTTTTTTGACTGCACACTTCCATGATAAGCTGTTCCCCCCAGCTCTGCAAAAAAAGTCCCATTTTTAATTGAAACAGCATTTTAGTCCTTTTCCCCCTTTATTTCTTGTTACCGGTGACTGCAACATAATCAGCGATGTTGAGAGGTTTGGTGGGGCTTGGGGCTTTCGTACTTTCTCATTTTTCCTTTTCCCGCTCTGGAACTTTTCAAAACTTCCTCAACTGGGAAAGGCAACAGAGCAGCAAACAGAAAGCTTACCTGACTGCCGTGCCCTTTTTTCCAGAGTCAGAGATGCCTGGAAAGTCCCAGACCAGCAGAGTCTGGGTTGCGTTTTCCCTTTGTTTTTCAGTCACTTTTGAAAAAGTTTTGAAAAGTGATCAAGTGGTGGCAAAATAAAAAAAGGAAAAAGGGGGGGGGGGGATAAAATCCCAGCTTTTACTCATTTTGTTGCACTCAGTGGCAGAAGGTGGGAGAAGAAACAGAAAAGGGGAAAAAAGCCAAAAATTCACTTTTAAAAACAGGATATTTTTTGAAAA